TCTCCCCCTAGAACCCCAAAGGGGAACCTCGCATTGCAGGTCCTGGGGGGGGGGGGGGCAAAGCCAGTGGATGCCCCAGGCAGTGCACAATGCCATGAGCTTCTGCAAGGGAGAAAGCTTTCGGAAACCAGGGAAGGACCCATGCTCTGCAGTGTCCCACAGGTCTGAGGGTTTGGGGGCAGATCCCCTCACCTTGTGATGCTGCTTGACCAGGTTCACTAGGTTCCTGCTGAAAACCTTGCGGCGCTCCAGTAAGCGCGATGCCGACAGGTGGGGACGGCCGTCTACCTTCTCCTCTAGAGAGGGGGAGACGGGTTCCTCCGTCAGAGATGGGCACAACCCAGCTGCGTCCCAGTACGTCTCCAGGCTCCATTCCCAGGACCAAGGCTCCAGAGTCTGTCTTTTGTCTTTGTACCAACAGCCTCAACATATTCCTGACTGCTACCGAAACCCGCCATGCCCACGACTGACCTGTCCAGTCACCAGAGGCAACAGAGAGATGGGGGACAGCAAACCCAGGCCTCGGCTACCCTAGCATTGCCAGCCCATCCCAGAGGCCCGAGAGCCCTGCGAGATGCAGAGGTCTCCATCCCACCCCCAGCACGGCCAGCTGTGACACGTACCTTCCCCCAGCACGGGCTCGATGGTGAGCTGGTAGCCGGATCGCTTCATGCCCGCCCCGAAGGTAGGGATGTTGTTGTCCTGGCGCAGCGTGTAGGAGGCAGGGTACACAGCTTTGATCTGGCCCACGTGCCGCTGCTCGAACTGCCTGCAACCAGGGCAGAGGTGGAGCTGGAGCCCCTCCAGGCTTGGACAGGGGCTCCAGCTCGACGGCATGACAGCAGCCCATCGCTGCCAGTGCCAAGTGCATTGCAAGGGGCAGAGAAATCACCAGCTAGAGAGCATGAACCGAGCCGAGCCAGGGAAAGTGGCCCAAGCCCAGGAGCTGAACCTCAGGATTTGATCTCCAATACAGAGGGGCATGTCCCTGGCTTTAGGGGAGAAAGCCTTTGGGGTCAGACTCGCACAACTCAGCTAAGGCGGCGGCGGCAGCAGCAGGGGCAGGGCTGCTGGAGCCAGGATCTTCCCCCCTCCCCTGCTGTCAGCCCAGCACAAGCACCCCAAGGACGCTCCACGCTATACAAGCCCCTGCCCCGAGAGCTGGAGCCAGCCATCTGCCCCTTGAAGACAGCCGCCAGCCCTCTGCCATGTGCAAGAGATCTCAGTCCAAGCCTAGAAGGTCTTGGGCGGCTGCATCGCCGGCCAGGCTGCGGCAGGTCCCCGCCAGCCACCACGTGGCTGTGCCCCTCGGCGGGGAGGGCTTACTTGCGCATGATGTCCTGGACGCCCTGCTTGACCTTGGCGAAGGTGATGGTCTCGGCACGGTTGAAGAGCATGCCCACGATGGTGTCCATGCTGCGGAACATCTCGGCCAGCACCTTGTACTTGTAGGGCAGCGTCAGCCCGGGGGGCACGTCCTGGGCGAGGGTGTGGAACCTCTGGTAGGCAGGTGCCTTGTCCCTGGAAGGGAGCTGGCGTTAGCCCCTTGCTCCTGAGGGACTGGCTGGGGCAGGGACTACTGAGACAACCCACCCTGGGGAGGCTGGGGCGTGTAGGGGGTATGTCCTCCCCCCAGGGTCTCATTGCTTTGCCATTAGGCTGCCTCCCAGCTCCATCTCGGGGGCAGTCGAGAGCCCTGCAGGTCACCCAGGCCAGCCCTAGCTTTGCCTGCGACAGCCAAGAAGATAGCAGGGGTCTCCCCCTGCTTGCAGCAAGGTAACGGATCCCTGAAGCGGGAGTCCCCTTCCAGCAGCCCCCAAGTGACCACCTCCTCACCTGGCTGCAGCCGGGGGCTCTCTGGATGGCTCCGGCTCAGATGCCTTCTCCTCCACCCGCCTTTGGCGGATCTTGGCTTCCAGTGCCCGCGCTTGCTCGAGGCGGCTCCGAAGGGCAGCACACGTCTCCGGGGAGGCGGCGACGGGCAGCTTGGCCTTTCGCGTCAGCGCTCGGAGCTTCTGCAGGCGGCATTTCAGCTGAGCGACGTCCTCCTGGCGCGGGGAGAGGGGACAGAGACCAGCGCTGAGCAAGGGAAGACTCCACCCGGATGCCGCAGTGTTTGCAATCGCTCAGGTCGTGCCCGAGCTGCAGGGGATAGGTGCGTGGAGCAGGGAAGCACTGGCAAGACCCACCCGGGACGGGATTCCCCACCTCTGCCCATTTCCCCTAGCTTACAAGGTCCCGGCAGGACCAAGAAGGGGGCGCAGCTTGGGAACAGCACTCCCGCCGGAGCGCCCCGGGAGCTAAGGGATCTCGCAGGGGCTGGCAGCACCTTGCTCTGCGCCTGCTCGAAGCTGCGGTTTCCCTCGCGGGCGGCCGAGCTGGCCGGCAAATCGCTCCCCTGCCCGGGGCCCGGCGACAGCGTCGTGTTTGCCAGGTTCTTTGCCTTCTTGTCCAGCGAGGATGGGGTCGGGGGTCCGGCGGCTGCTGCCGAGCTGGAAACCTGCAAGAGTTCAGCATTGGGCATCACTGCCCTGCTGCGAGGCGCCAACCTGTCTCCCTTCTTCTTTCCTTAGGAGAAGGGCCGCCAGCCTTACACGTCAGGCACACTGTGAGTCTTGCAGACCAAATCCTGCTGCAGGGGCAGGAGCCAGTGCTGGGTGCACGCACCATGCGCGCTCTTGGGAACCGGGGAGGCATTTTACCCCCCAGCCAAGTTGGCACAGACTACGGGGCTTTGCCCTCCTCCGTAGCAAGGGGCACGGCTGCCTTCCTGGGGTCTCTCGAGGGCACTTTAAAGACCTCGTAGCTGCCGGACGGCGGCAGTGCCCGTGTCCCCCGGCTTCACCTGGGGCAGGCTCAGGTGTTGCGGGGCGGCTGGGCAACAGGGGCATGACCGCCGCGCAGTTCACTCCTGGGCTGGAGGGTGGGGGTTGGATCAACCCTGCCCCACGCACTGGCTGGGTGATC